CTTCATTTTTTTAAATTTACAAGGTATTCCTTTTACTACTGATTTAGTTTTTGTTACTAATATAACTGCTTAAAATTTAAGTGGTAATTAATGATAAATATAATTATGTGATGAATCATTCAGATGAATTGTTATAATTTTAGCTAGTGTGCTCTCCAGCCTTCCTCAGGTGTGGATACTACTTTGAACGATTCATTAAAATGATTATGCTTAATTTCAGAACTTCATACAATAGATTAAACTAAGTTAATTAAGTGAAAATTAATTAACAATGTGCTGACCAAATATATAACAACCTTTACATAAACTTTTTTCTTTTAAATAATTTTGACAATTATTGGGTTGCTATGTGGTTCTGGTGCTAATCTTTAATGGACAGGAACCTGAATTATGCAAAAAAATATGATTATATAATTTACAACTTGAATAAATTAATGGATTGATAAAGTAAAAATTCTACTATCAAGTAATTTATTCAAGTTCCACAATGTTTTAATAGAATGAAAAAGGATAAATAACATTTTGATATTAAAATTGATTAATAAATTCATTTTTATTGAATTTTTTTAATTTTTCTTTGAGGTTCGTCGGGAAGAACTTGAAGAACTCGAAAAACTGCACACTGAAGATTGCGTAATGCCAGCCTCTTTGGGGTTGGAGAATTCTCCTGGTAAAGTGAATATTCTTCTGCAATCTTATATTTCTCATGCCTGTTTGGATAATTTCTCCCTTGTATCAGACCAAGCTTATGTTGTGCAGGTTAGTGGAAATTGATTTCTTTCAAAAATTTATATTATTCTTAATAATGAGTAAACATATTAGTGTCTATTAAAAGTTTCTTTCATTTTTGTTTTGTTTTATAGATCTTTACTTCAAGCTTATTTCATGCATATATCTAAAGATTATCATGACTTCAGTATATTATTATGATATATATATATATGGTGGAGTAATGGGTAGTTGCTCGGATTGAGGAATCGGAGAGCTGAGTTAGAATTCCAGTCAAATCCATTAATTTCACTTATGTGTTAAAACCCTTAGGAAAGGTATGACTCCTCTTCTTCTTCCCCCAGCTATGGGTAAATAGCAGGACAGACCTGGTGGTTCTTGTATGACAACTGGTCTACCGCAGAAAGAAATGACAACCTACTGTGTGAAAAAATCTGCCTCGTCAATCATGTATCTTTCGATACATGATCTCCTAACCGTGTATCACACATGGCACATAAATGACTGATATATATATATATATATATATATATAATTTGTCACTTAGCTGATTGATGTTATATTCAGCACCTCTACACTGGAGTTTTGTAGACAAACCGTTGTGTAATTTTTCAGTCTACTCAATAGGAGAAGGTGTCCCCAAAAATGTACTCACTCTTTAAATGACAATAAATGCAGTGTTTGTTAGCTTGCAATCAAAATTAATGGTTAAAATTAAGAAATATTAAAATTTATTGACTTACAAAGTATATTAACAGTTTAAATTAAATATTAAATAAAATGCATTTGAGCCTGAAAAAAAAGAAAATAAAAATTCAGGAATTAAGGGAAATCAAAAAGTGAGTGACTACATTTTTTAGGTGTGGGTGGCTCTATGTGTACACACACACACACACACACACACACACACATATATATATAATCAACTTTCTCAACTTGTTTTCTATCTACATGCAGGTAGTTTGTTCCTAGTAAATGTTCTGGATTATTCTGTCTTTCCCATATGAATCAAGTTTTCCTAGCAGTTCAAATAGGTTTGTGTGTCAAGCCTTATCAAATGTATTTGCATAATCTATGAAACCTAGGAATGTCTTTGAATTTGTATTGCTCATTCAGGTAGCATTCTGATCATAAAGAAAGCATTTCTTGTTCTAGAATCTTGAACAAAGCCGTACTGTTTTTGTCCTATTTCTGATCAGCTTTTGCTTCAAGCTCTCTCCATTAAAATCCTAAGTTGTATTCTTAGTTATGCAACTCATTAAGTTGATTGTCCCACATGGTTTACATTCATTTGCACAGGGCTTCTTTTGAATCACTAGGAATGTAGATTGCCTACTGAGGTCTTCCAGTATATTGCCACTATTATATTTATTATTTCAGTAATCTTCTCAATTCTGAAATCATTTAAGGCTGACAATATCTCTATTACAATCTTATCTGGTCTTGCTACTTTTTGTTCATCTTGGCCAGTGCCAATCTTACCATTTTAATATTGCAGTTCCTTCCTTGTTTTTATGTATTCTGGGTTTCTATCCTGTCATCATTGAAGAATTTCTCAGTGTTTTCATTCCATCTTTGAAATATTTTTATTTTTATATTTTATGCTTCCTGTCAAGGAGCATGTCTTTTGTGCTAATATTTTTTTTATTATTTTATGCATAACTGTTATGTTTCACACTTCTCATTGAGACATTCACATTTTGCACATTTCACATTGAGAGATTTTCCTTTTGCAAACTTCTTGAGAGATTTTCCTTTTGCACACTTCTCCTTGAGAGATTTTCCTTTTGCACACTTCTCCTTGAGAGATTTTCCTTTTGCACACTTCTCCTTGAGAGATTTTCCTTTTGCACACTTCTCCTTGAGAGATTTTCCTTTTGCACACTTCTCCTTGAGAGATTTTCCTTTTGCACACTTCTCCTTGAGAGATTTTCCTTTTGCACACTTCTCCTTGAGAGATTTTCCTTTTGCACACTTCTCCTTGAGAGATTTTCCTTTTGCACACTTCTCCTTGAGAGATTTGCCTTTTGCACACTTCTCCTTGAGAGATTTGCCTTTTGCACACTTCTCATTGAGCCTCCTGGGTATGACGATAAACTACATTCGCATCCTGGGTATGATGATAAACTACGTCCAACAGCAAGGCCTCTGATAATCCATTTTTGAAAAAAATAATAATGTTGCCAGCTGTACGTTTTTGAAAAAAAAATATTACCAACTATACGTTTTTTTTTGAAGGATGGTGTTGCCAGCTATACGTTTTTGAAAAAATAATATTACCAGCTATATATTTTTGAGGAAAAAATATTGATAGAAATAGATTTTTGACAAAACAAAAAATATTACCAGGAAAAAAAAGTTGTAGGCATTAAATGACCCATTGAGGTTGATATGCCGTAAAACAAACAAACATCTTCTCATTGAGAGATTTGCCTTTTTGCACACTTCTCATTGAGACATTAATTTTTGCCTGCTTGCATTTTTTCTACTGTTTTTGTTTAACATTCACTGACATTGTTGATTGTCTCTTTTGTATCAGTATAAGAATTTCCTCTGTCATCCACTATTTTTTTATGTGTCATTCATTATGATGATCTTGTTCACTGATGTCACAAGAGCTTCCCTTAAGATGTTTCATTTTGAATCTTTTAAGCTCTTATTTGCTCTTATCTCTGTCAGCATACATCTGTTTCATAAGGGAGTCATCATGGAGTCTGTTGTATTATTGTTTAGGGATTACTTTAAATTTTTTTATGCATAGTATTGTATACGCTGAAAAAAATAGTAGTTGTTGAAAGGCTAAAAAGTGAATATTCTTTTGATAGATTCTTATAGAATTTGGTAAAAGTTTAATATTTACCACTTTTCATAGCTTTTATCTTTATTATTGTTATTAAAAGTAAAATTAAAATTGTCATCGTAAACATAATTATAGTAATTACATTTGACTGAATGATTGGAAGATTTTAGAAACTTATTTCAGATAAGCATAAATGCTTATCTGAAATAAGTTTTTGTTGCTATTGGTTAAAGATATGAAATTAAAAAAATAAAATGTGTTCATCAATTTTTAGAATTTATAAATGAACTTTTCTTTTTAATTTCATTGAAAAACAAAATTTACTTTTATGTGACTAGCAAATTTTAATATTAACTTAAAATTTGTTTTTTTCTTATATATATTTTTCTTTCAGGAAAGAATACAATTTGATTTCATGAAAAATTTCAACATCTAAAATTTGAAATTGCTTGAAAAAATAGTTATCTTTGTATTAAATTTTAATTAGTTCTGGGAATTGTTCAGATTGATTTCATTTTGTTTTTTGCTTTTATTTTGTTATCACATCATTTCAGCCAATCTAATCTGTAGCTTTCCTCAAGTGTGCAATCCATGTTAGAATGATTGACAGATCTCAGAATGTATTTTATTTATTGTTTTTTTTTTTTAGGCTTTGAAATTAGGAGGGAACATATTTCAATTACAAAAAATATCATAACTGAATATTATAATATTGAATTGAATTGCTCCCAAAGATCTCTTGTCAGATTCTATTATGTTTTTTTCACAATAAAATTGATATTAACTAACTGATGTCAACATTTTCAGGATATGTTTATATGAGCCATATATCATGTGAATTCATATTTATAAGTTGTTTTGGAAGTGTCTGGTTTTATTATGCAAACAAAGTTCATGATAAATTTTTATTTATAAATAAATCCAAAAGATACATGTCATAGCAGGATATTTGATTAACACAGTATCCCATATACTAGAGTAACTTAATTTATTATTTTATTTGTTAATGTAGACTCTTTAACATTTTATAAGCTTCATCAATCTTTCAACCATTGATTTGTTAACTTTACTACTCTTTCAACTTCATCATAATTTGTAGAAATTTTTATTATTCTTTAGAGATTTTCTTTACTTGAATATTGTTTTCCATTCTTATATACATCTATTGAACCACAGGTTTTCTATTGGTGAAGCTGGAGGCCATTCAGTTAATTTGGTATCTTTGAAACCATTTTTTTTACACTGTTTGCAGACTCTGAAGAAGCATTTTTTTTACATGGATATACTCTTTAACTTAAAGCTTCTTGCTTATGACTTTTTTATCTTTAGTACTAGCCCAAAATATTACTCCATCTACTATTGACTATTTCCATAAAGGACCCAACTTCAACCTCTAACACAGCCATAATCTCTATCCAGTGTTGCTCTACTTTCATCATTAAAAATTATTGTTGAGAAATTAGTTTCCATGTACTTCTTCACCCAACTTAAATCTTTCTTTTTGTGATGTTTACTTAAAGGTGGTAGTTTAGTTGCTTCTTGCTGGTTAACCCTAGAACACTAACCATCAATTAAAATTACACCATTAATAACCATGGGTATATCATACCTGATTTTGAAAATATCAAAAAAATATTAAATATAAATCTTTATTTCAAATATTTTACATGCAGGCACTTCAAACGTTGTACTTTGAGTTAAGATTAATAGGAACTGAAAAACATATTATTTAGGTAAGAAAATGAGGTCCTAAAAATTGTAATTAAAAATAGGAAAATTTGCGCTGGGTACTATATACCCATAGTTAGTGTCTTAGGGTTAATCCACTTTCCTAGATTATTACGTTTTCATTTTTCTTGAATCTCTTTTGTGACATTCTTAAAGCCATTTTTTTTCTTGTTCCTATGTTGCCATTGTTCTCAATTTCACTTTTAATTGTCCCAATCATGTGACTTTTTGCAACTTCAATGTTGTGCTCCTATGACACATTATATGTTCTCTTTTGATATATATTTATTATACTCTGTGAAAGTCTTTACAAATCTGAAATTAAAAAAATATCAATAAGTTTACCATTGCATTTATTTACAATATGATTGACAAAAATCATAATTTCACACCACCAAATAAGTTATAGCAATTTATACTAATTAAAATATATAAGCTAAAATTCACATGGTGTATTTATTGTATAAATATATCCTGAAAATTATACCAATATCAGTTGGTTTGTATTGATTTTTTTGTGAAAACAATGATTTGTATAATAAAATTTGTCACAGTGTAAAGACCATAAAGAATAAATATTCTTCATTTTTCAATTTGTAGAATGGAGCCCGAATTGTACGTGCTCTATTTCAAATTGCTCTTCGAAAGGGTTGGCCAATCATGGCCAGCCGGTTGCTGACCCTCAGCAAGACAGTGGATAAACGACAATGGGAATTTGAAAGTCCTCTGAGACAGTTTCAACATTGCCTTTCTTTTGAAGTTGTAAATAAAATAGAAAAAGCCAACCTCACTTTGGAAAAGATGAGAGAGATGACTTATCAGGAAATCGGTAAGTCTATCAAGAATTCATATAAAGCTCAGTGTGTGTCCATAGAGAGTTGCTTTTCATTTTAATTATTGCAATTAAATTAATAGCTTACACAGAAGTATTTTAATTAACACCTGAATAAGAATGATGCCACAATTGAGAGAGAATAAAAATCAAAGGAAAGTAATTATTTTTGGTATGAAACTCTGTGTAAATAAGATTTCAGTATGGCTTGTGATTGAAAATTCTGTGTACAATGTGATTGAAGAAAATCTTGGTTTTAGGGTATCGATACAAAAATGTTTGAATTATTGGATTCAGATACAAAAAATAATGAGTGATAATGATCTAGAAATTAAACAACAATGCATGTCGGTTGTTAACTGGGGCAATGTATGACTTGATATCTTTTTAATGACTTTTTAATGCATTCTTGGCTTAATGTTTTCCATTGAGTAGAAGTGGAGTGATTATATCGAATCAATTGCTATGTCTACTGCAAGGAAAGATGGTTCTTTGTGTCATACCAGAAATTTTTCTTATCAGAATTCATCTTGCACATTTATAAATTTACCATTCCGTGCATTGAATACTGTTGCCATATCTGATCTGGTGCACCTGCTGTATATCTTGAGATTCTTGGCAAGATCTAAAGAAGGGTCTGTAAACGATTCTCACTGGGCATCACGACTCCAGTCACTTTCTCACCAACATGAATGACATGGCTTCCCTCTGTCTTTTCTATAACTATTTTCATGGCAACTGTTCTGAGGAGCATATCTTTCCTGGTGCCCCAACCACATGAATTCAAGTGTGCAACTAGATTGGTAGTTAGGTCTCACCTTTTACTGTTGAACTAGCTGGATGCAACTGCCACTTCTACTCTTAACAGTTTTTTTTCTTGCACTTTCCATCTGTGGAATTCCCTCCTGATTTTTTGCTTTCCTGGTAACTACAATCTTCAAAAATTTAAATGCATCATCAATTGCTATCTTCTGTCTCTTTGTCTTTCCACAATCTTCCCTGTTCTCAGTTTTCTCATTTTCTATCACTTTCATTCCCTGTAAGCACCTGCAGTCTAGTGGCATTGTCACCTTGCTTGAAACAACTAAAAGAAAAAAAAATGTAGAAGACAAATGAAATGTTATAGACTATTGCAAAGTAGGTAAGACTTAGAGAATTTCTTTTGGAGTCAGTTAAGCAACAAATAATGAGTATGGCTCCAGATGTCATTCAAAGCATGTTTGTTTGTCATAGTTGAGAGAATGAGATTTCCTGTTATTCCAGAATCTATTATTGAAAGGGAAAAAAAAGAAAATAGTTAAAATACTTCAAATGATGTGTAATTGATTTTTCTCTGAAAATAAATGTTAAAATTTATTTCAATATTCAATAAATATTTTTTCACATTGTCTTCACAAAAGTATTAAGTGCAGAATATTTCACACTCTGTCACAAAGTTGCCTATATTATAAATAGCTTCTCTTTAATCATATAATAATTATCTCTTAATATAGTGATCTGTCTATATTTCTGAGATGAGGTATTATAACTATTTATGTTATTTACATTGATCAGACTGTTGTCCTCATCTTTATTGCCATATTGACCCAAAGAGTTGTGAGTTCAATATCTAGCCACAGCAGAGGGAACAAAATCTTGGAGAGTTGAATTACTAAAGGGAATTAACTGAAACTGAGATATCCAATAAGGCATGGCATGAGGAATTAGAATAATCTACCCCAGTGAACTAAATAAAGGGTTTGGTTTCAAATTTCAATGTTTATCATTTGAAGAAGACTGGAGCATACAATGGCCAAAATGTCATGAATATAGCAATAAAGATGAGGACAACAGGCCAAACAATGTAATTAGTGTAAATAATATAGTGATATCAGATTATTTTGTGATAATGCTAAAAGTACAGTCTGCTTTTTTTTTCTTTTTTTTTTCTTTTTTTCTTTTCTTTTTTTTTCCTTTTTTTTTCTTTTTTTGTTTTATCTACCCTTCCTCATGATAATAGTTTTGACCCAAGATCACATCATGGAGACATGTATGTGTTCATGTAGTTTGTATCAGAAATTGTGTAGCACCCTTGGCACTTTTGGGGGTGGGGCAGGGAGTGCCTCAGACATCAAGGATTGTCTCTTACCCCTCCTCCTGTGTACAGCAGAGACTGCTTGAGGTAGGGGTTGTCTGGGATTAATTAAATTACATTGTTATTTTTTATTTTTATAGAAGCAACTGATTTTTAAGGAAGTTTACGCAAATTTGACTAGATATTAAGCAACTCCGCTACTGACATCAGCATGGCTCAAGCAACTAGAAAAAAAAAAGAAAAAACTTAAAATTATACATACATTACTAAATTTATTATTTTATTCTGTACTCAAGAATTCCACTAATTTTACAAGTTTAGTTATATTGAGCTTTGAGGGAAACACTTTTGACCAACTGTGTGGGTTTCTCCATTGCACAGAGTTTTCCACCAAAATCAAATTCATGCTAATGGCTTCACCAAACTCTCTCTGATTCACTGTCATCTCTGCAACCAGGGGATAAAAAGGGAATAGGGAGAGAAGATGATGATCCTGATTCCTGATGCTGGGATGTGAGTGGGCATTAATTTAGACATATATTGAAACATCTTTCTTTTCTTTTTTATCCAACATAACGAAAATCAAAGCAACTATGTAATCAACTTGAGTAGTAATTCTTGTTCAAAAATTAGATAAACCAATTACTGGTCCAACTTCTATGTTACTAGTTGTAAAACCAAAAACAAATAAGGTGCCAAGAGAGAGATTGTATCATGCAGGGTAGGTATAAAAGTGAGCTTTGATTTTTCTTCAAAGCTCTTAATTACACGGAGGAGTGGGGGGTGTTACATGCCATAAAATTGATATTCTCATTTGTGATGTAAAAAATCTCAACTGTACAAATTAAATCTTAACTGGAAACACTTTATGATTCTTTTGCATGTTCCTTATTTTGTTTACTGTTATATTGTAGGCCATATGGTTCGCCATGTTAAAATGGGTTCTGTGATTAAAAGATGTGTTCATCAGATTCCTCATTTGGAACTGGACGCTACAATCCAGCCAATCACTCGCACAGTTCTTCGAGTGAGATTGGCTATAACTGCTGATTTCCACTGGGATGATAAGGTCAGTTTTTCTATCAGAACGTTTATTTCTTTGATTCAGTATAACCTATGAACTCAGCCTTAGTATAGTCTCTTTTATTTATTCATAAATATTACTTCATTATAAATGTCTCTATATTTTCTTTTCCTTACCAACACATTTTTGTTTTCATTAGAATATTTCAATTAGTGCAATTACTCTTTATTACTTATTGTAATTTGAAACTAATTATCTCCTTGAAGTTTCATTTTCACTCATTAGATTTCAGGCTTTTGTTTTTTTATAATATTATGGCTAGATATTGAATTCGGGATTATTTTAGGTGTGGAAAAAATTCTTCTCCATGAATTCCTAAATCATAACAGGATTATGGCTATATCATGTTGAAACGCTGTTTCTCATACAGTCACCGGTTAAGCAACATTGAGCCTAGTCAGTACCTAGATTCAGTACTTGGATGGGTGACCGCTTAGGGATATCAGGTGCTGAAACCTTGAATGTGCGGGTGATGTAATGGATAATAGCTCAGAATTGCTAATTAGAGGGCTGAGTTCCAATTTCTGTTGGGTCCATTATATTCACTTGGGAAAGTTATGAATCAACTTCTTCTCCCCCCAGCTATAGGTTAATTAGTAAGACTTGTATCCCTAGCATCATTATTATCTATAAAAAAAAATAAAATTACATACAAAATATTTATATTTTGGCATTAAATAACCTACAGAGGTTGATAGGATATTAAACAAAAACAAACCAACAATTACGAACCACAATTTACAAAAAGGGGGAACAATTGGTTTTATTTATTCTCTTATTAAATTGTTTGCCAATAAGATGCACAGTTCTGGATCTTTTTCAAAAGTATTATGTAAATTTCAATCATTTCGTTATTTTTATAATTATGTACATAAAATATAATTATTAAGTCTTGTGACAAATTTTCTATTATTTTAGTATATTAAACAAAATCAGGTTAGCAATGAAAATTAAAAACAAAATGACAAAAGACTACTTAATATTGTTTAGAATTCTGAGAAAAAAAAGCACTTATAAAATGTCTGTAAGTGAGTATAAAATACCAAACTGGCATTTGAACTCAATCCTCTGATTTCCAATTCTGAGCTCAAAATTGGAAATTGGAAGGTTGATTTCCGGTATCAGTCAGGTTTATTATATCACTATTAGTTTGGTGTAAAACTATAATTGGGCATTCAGTGTGAGTTAATTCACTATATTCACAATGATCAATGAAACTATGGCAAACATTTGAATATTATTGTATGTGACCAGAACCTGTGTAAAATATTACAAATCAAAATTGTTATAGTATAAATATTGGGTAGAAAAAAAATGTCCTTATCACAAAATGTTTACATTAGATCATTAAGATTACTAACAATATATTTAATTTTTGATTTCAGGTTCATGGGAAGACAGGAGAACCATTTTGGATTTGGGTTGAAGATCCAGACAATTGTTTTATTTACCATTCAGAAAGTTTTCTCTTGCACAAAAAACATGTAAGTGGTTTCTACAAGTTCATATTTTTATAGAATTTATGAAATCTAAATTTTATTAAATTTATTTGAAAAATGAAGGAAAGCAAAATTTTTTTGTGCTTGTCTGTCAGCACAGCAGACATTAATCATTTTGTAATGGTTGAAAACACTTTTTATTCTTGAAGTGGTTAATGAAATATTTTAGAAATTCCTATGTTTTAAGTCATTTTACTCTGGTAGTGAATTGGATAGTAATTCAAGACTTTTCATGGTCATGGTTATGAAGACAATGAAAGCAATGATTACACTGGAATGACTGATATTTTGAAGATATGATAAATTAATTGCTCAAGTCAAAAAACAAAAAAAAAAAAGGAAGTTTCCTATGACACATAGTAGTACAGTAGGTGAGAATAATTATTTACCATAATTTTTCAAAAATGATAAGCACCCATGAATAATATGCACCCTAACAAATGATCCAAAAATTAAAAATATATATATATCCCTATGTATAATACACATTTATAAATTTTGTAAAAACAAATAATTATGAAGACATTTCGTTGATCTTGACATTAAGAATAAAATCGAAAGTAACCAGCTAAAATAATGCTGAAAATTACCATGCGATTTTCCCGATAAATATAAATTTTTTTTTTTTTTTACTGCCAAAATGTCAAAACGTGTGAGTTATAGTGGAAATTTTAAACAAAAAGTAATAGAATTAGCAGAAAGAATAGGAAATAGAGCTGCAGCTAGAGAATATGAGTTGAATGAGGCTAACATACGTTTATGGAGAAAGGATAAAAATGAACTAAAAAAGTGTAATAAAACATCAAAACTATAGGTAGAGGAAGAAAAGCTCAATATCCAGATATGGAACAAAGTTTAGTTGAATTTGTGAAAGAAAAACGATCAAGTGGATGTTCCATAAGTACTGTGGATATAAGGATGGAGGCAAAAGAACTTATGAAAACCATGTATCCTGGAAACACATGTATGGTGTTTTCTTTTTATGAAGAGGTTTGATATATCTATTAGGAGAATAAAATCCATAGCCCAGCATTTGCCTGATGACTACGAAGATATGCTTTTGAATTTTCAGTGTTATTCAGCTAAGAAAAAAGCACAACTATCCTTTAGGCTGTATTGAAAATGCTGACCAAAGGCCTTTGACTTTAGATGTGCCTTGTTTTCAAACTCTAGAATTCAAAGGGGTGAAGTCTATTCCAATAAAAACAACTGGAAATGAGAAAAATAGGTTCACAGTCATGCTTGGTAATGGTAAAAAGATGCCCCCTTACATAATTTTTAAATAGAAAACTCTGCCCAAAAACATTGAGTGCCCAACCAGTATGATAGTAAAATGTCAACAAGCATGTATTTATTATTATAAATCAATAACAAAAAAATATTTTTGTTTAAACCTTATATATGCACGTCTACTATCACCTGTAATTTACAGTAAAAAAATGTGTGTTATTTTTGAGAAATTACGGTAGTTTATTAGTTCAAAATGACATTTTATTATCTGTTGGTATAAAGTGTTTAAATAGAAATTCCAATCCTAGTACTACCTGACAGACTTGCTATTTAAATTTGTAGACTTACTTTAGGTTAATTATTCTAATGTTAATTGTTTTTTGTTTTATTGAGGTGAATTTTATTTTTGGCTGGCACAATATGAAAATTTTCAATGCCAGACAGTTAATTTTGGAAATGTGCATAAATTCAACATTGTTTTTGTTAATGAAAAAAAAAAAAATACTACTTAAACTTCTTTTCCTGTTTTTTCTTTTTTTATGTTCCATTTTTTTGTCTTTTTCAATCAATCTATTTTTTTTGCTTTCTTTCTGTTTATTTCCTTGATTCTGTTGAATTCTCAGCCATTAGCAATCACGTTTTTTTAAATAGCTTGAAAAGGAAATTTAAATTAATTTTAGAAATGATTTTTAAACTTTATTTTCAAATGAATGATTAACATATTTCATGAAAAGCAAACATTGAAGATCTTTGTATAGACATGATTTATTGAGCATAGCTGATAAACTTGAATTACAAGCAAAATTTTTGCTTAAGTTTTACTAAATCAAAAATAGGTGGTTTTCTTTTGTTAATTTACTACAAGTACTACTTATTAAGAAACATTTTTTAAAATTTTGTTGAAAATAAGAGTAGAATATTAAGCCATGAGCTCTTAAAGCTTGGTCAGATGAGAGATCAGCTTCCAAGTTCTGGTCATCGAGAGTTACTCACCAAAAAGGAAAGAATACGCCCAATGCATGTGTTATTCCTAAAAAAGGAATCATTTATATTTGTTGGGATGGATAATGATAATAAGATAGTTTACTTTTAATTTTGGTTACACAAATCTAACATTTCCAAATTGTGTATTGTATGAAAAATACCGACTGGGTAACTTAATTCCTCAATCCAAGAATCTGAAACATTTCTCAAAAGGAACATTTTAATTTTACATTCATTTCTGTTTTCTACTTTAAGATTTATGAATTTCTATGTTGTCTGTATATTTGAAAAAAAGAAAAAAACAAAAGTTATTCTTGTCTGTTTATTTTTAAGGTTGTGAGAGAAGAACCTCAGATGATGGTGTTTACTATTCCAATATTTGAACCACTTCCAAGTCAATATTATGTGAAAGTAGTTTCTGATCGTTGGATTGGTTCTACAAATGTCTTCCCAATATCATTCCAGCATCTCATTCTACCTGAAAAACATCCTCCACACACAAGTGAGTTTTCAGCATTCATTTTATTTAACACATTCCTCTGTGGAAATATAAAGAAATTAAATAAGGTGTTTAATCGCTTATGAGTGTGTCAGTTATTGATATTTTTTTGTTTTGACCATGGGTTGAGATTATAAATCAAAACAGCTCAAAGAAAATACTAAGACATTTATTTTCTATAAGGTGACTTTTTGGGGATTTTGAAACAACTACAAATAATGACTAAAATATGTAATTTATATTGCTGAAATAAGATATGAGTTATGAAGGTTACTGAAAGGTTTTGAAATTATTTTGGAATAGGCAAGCAATAGATATTTCTTTTATGTGCCATACCGTTTCAGGATGTTGGCAATAATGGCTCTCTACATCTTCCTGTCCTTTGTCGTTCTTAGTAAGTTTGTTTATTTTAACTCTCCTAAATCCTGTTCTGCCAACCATTTACACAACCTCATTAGGTAGGTTATTTGTTGCTTTCCTCTGTCTCTCTTGCCTTCAATATATCCTGTGAATATCAAATTCTCCAAGTCCGCTTTTCTCATTATGTACCCTAGAAATTTCAATCGTTTCTTTTTTATTCTGTGTATAAGTGTCCTTTTTCCTCCCATTTTCTCTAAAACTTTCTTGTTACTCACATGTTCAGTCCATGATATTTGCAACATTGTTCAGTAGAACCACATTTCTGTTGCTTCAAGTCTCTTCTTCTTTCATGAGGAGAATGTCTAGCATTCACTGCCACATAGGAAGACCCATATTACATAACAGTTCAATACTTTTTTTTTGTTCCTAATGAAATTTTCCTGCTTCTTCATACTTTGCTTAGCTTTTGGAAGGCATCTTTCACTATTCCAACATGCCTTCAGATTTTGGTGTCACATTTTCTGTTCTCTGTTAGAACACTTTTTACATATTTAAATGTTTGCACTTGTTTAATTTTGGCATCTTCAATTTGTAATTTGCATGTTGTGCTGTTTCTTTTCTTGACAACTCTACATTCTGTCTTCTTGCAATTGATGTTCAGTACTTTTTTTTCACTTCCTTTACTACCTTTTGAAGAAGTTCTTGTAGTTTCCTTTTTGTGTGTTATTAACACTGTCATTTGCATATTTTATGTTGAGATTGTGTCTACCAACAGCAGCAACAATTAAAATGGATAGCACATGGAACTAGAAGAGAAAATAATGACATAATCAAAATGTTAATATTCCACACCACTTCAAATAGAAGGATCAGAAGGAAACTCCCATCAATACTAGAAAGAGCAATAAAATCTACTGTACTTGAGAAACTGGTTTTTCCTGAAAAGTTGTTTTAAGAGAAAGATTTTAAAAAATCCAACTGAAAACAGTACTGCTGCTAGGACAATGAATGCCAAATATTTCCTTGTAGAGAAACGACTAGTATTACCATTACCAATAATGAATCCTGGTAAGACTTCTATTTTTCTCTGGATTGCCTCTCTGTAAAGGTTCAATAAGTATGATGAGAAAACATCCTTGTTTTATGCCCGTTCTAATTTTGTGTATTTATTGAATTCATTTTCTATAGTATGATTTCAGGGATGATTCTGAATTCTTTCTCAAATAAATCAAGCTTACTTAACAGTTCAAATAGTTCCTTGTGCTGTACTCTATCAAACACATTTGCATAAGCAATAAAACACAGGTACACATCTTACTGCATTTTTATTGCTCTTTCTGCTATCATTCTCAGTTCTTGTTCTAATGTCTTTAATGAAACAGCACTGTTCTTGTTTCATTTCTGGTCTAATTCTACTGTGCTCTATCCATCAGAATTAGGCTTATTGTCCGATGGAGATTGCACTGACTTCACTAGGCAGCACTATTAAAATAGATTTACTTAGGTTTTCCAGTTTACCACAACTGTCATATATATCCTTTATTATTTCTGTAATTTTTTATTAATGCCAAAGTTATCTAAGATTGTCGACATCTCTATTACAATTCCATCTGGTCCTGCTCTACTGTTTCTGTTTAATTTAGCTAGTACTGACTTGACTTCCATACTTTTGTGTATTGCAGATTTTTCTCTTCCATTATAGAAGAGTTTTCCGATGTATTCATTTCATCTTTGAAGTATTTTTTCTTTCTCAATTATCAGTGTTCTCTCTTGGTTTTATGTATCTTGTTGTCTTTTGTATTGTTATTTCTCTTATAATATCTACCTTATCTTGGATGATCATTCTTTCTATTTCTGCACACTTTTCATTAAACCATTCCTCTTTTGCTTGCTTGCATTTTTTTCTAATTTCTTTGTATAATGTTCTATATTCTGTACTATAGCATGGCATTTTTTTGTTGTCTCCTTTTCATCATGTTGAGAATTTCATCTATCATCCATCCCTTTTTTCCTTGTCTAGTTTTCTTTGGGACAATTTTGTTTGCTGATCTTATGAAAGCTTTTATTACTGCACCCTATTTTGAATTTTCATTCTCTTTTAATTCATTGTATCTGTTTTGAATGCTTTCAGTATACATCTCTTGCAGTTAAGGTGCTGTCTTGACCCTCTTCACTTTCCATATTTTTGTTCTAAGGTTATATATCACTGGAAGATATATCACTGACTGCTCCTGCAGTCAGCACTTGGATATATTTTTCTGTGTAAAAACTACATTCCTGAATCTCTTATTGATAGTTACGTAATCAATTTATTTTTTTGTTTCTCCTCCATATCCATATAAGTACTGGGTATTCTTGAAACCAGGTGTTGACTATTACCTGGTCATTAGCCATACACCATTGGACCTATTTTTCTTCATGTTCATTGCAGATTCCTGGTTCAGATTTACCAACTATTTCCTAGCTCCTTTCCTACTTTGGTATTCAGGTCTCCCATGATGATTGTAATTTTCTGTAATTTGCATTGAGCCATGGTTTTATCCAGTGTATAGTAAAATTTTTCAATTTCTTCCTTTGTATTTTATGCTGTTGGTGCATAGTTTTTTTATTTTTCATCCTACAGGATTAATAACCATTCATCTCATCCTACACCCTAATAAATTGGTGTAAAGGAACATTTTTTAGTTGCTAACAAAAGATTTCACATGCACACACACACACACACACACATATATATATATATATATATATATATATATATATAGTTCTAAGTAGTTTTGCTTTTCTTAAATTCAAAGTAACCTTTTAATTTTACTTTTTCAAATTAATAGTGAAGAAAAAAATACTCTTCAGATTCGCAGAGTCAAAATATTTGCTGCTGGTTTCAGAAATGGGAATTTAAAATATTCAAAAAAATTAAATTTCCTTTTTCACTTTTTTCTCTTCTGGCGGTGTGGAATGGTAGTGGAATGAGAGACAAATCCAGTTTCATGCACAATACAGTTGTGTTATCGGTGAGGAAAAATGTGTATTATTAATATATATATATATAGAGAGAGAGAGAGAGAGACAAAAGAAAAATTTATAAATTTTCCTTTTGTCTTTTTCATATTGTCCATCTACAGATATATTTTAGTTATATCCAAAATCTTTACACGCACACCTATTTCTATTATAAATGCAAATGTCAGTGTGTCACACTTTTTCAATTAAAGGGACACAACTCTCAGTAGTTCACCTCCTTCAGTGAACCTTTTAAGTCTTGAAGTCCCATGCCACTATAGAACAAAATATAGCAAGACATTTAGCAACTTAAGAGACAGTAAATGCCAGGTGTTCTACAAGGAGAGCTATAGAGGATACTGGAACACAGAGGGAAATGTATTTGCAGCCCAAAAGTACACAAAATACTTTGTTTGGCAGTTGAAACAAAAGAAAGAAACAAAGGGAAGAAAGATTGCAAGCCAAAGGAATTAGGACAGCTGCAAAAGATCAGAGACAGGAAAGGTTTCGGAAGGAAAGAGGTAGGACTGCTGCTCACAGACCAACTGGGACTCTTGAGCAAAAACAGAAAAGACTTCAGGCTACTAGAACTAAGAGGGCTGCTAGCAGGGCAGTTGAGACTCATGAGGAAAGAGACAGAAGACTAGAATCTAATAATAGAACTAGGTCTGTTGCTAGCAGGGTAGGAGAGACTTCTGAGCAAAGAGTTGAAAGACTAGAAGCTAATTGAGCTAGTTCTGCTGCTAGCAGGGCAGTTGAGACATGAAGAAAGAGATGAAAGACAACTAGCTGATAGAACCCAGAGATGCAACAATGAATGAGGCTATTATGCCACAATCCCTTGGGAACCTTAGGTTGCACTTTGCAGTCCTATTGCAAATATACAAAGTAAGTGATCCTGCCTCTCTTTGTTATAAGTATAGGGATAGCTTATTGAAAGACTTTAAGCACCAAGCCCAACTCCAATTTCCAGGTATGGAAATAGATATCCCAGATGAAATTTAAAACAGGGCATTAATTGTTATAGAAAACTATCTTGATTCTATTGGATGGAATGTGTTAACGACATATGGTTTGCCCAAAACTTGTCAGACTGGTAATGATGCCTTACCCAGTGAGGTGTTGAGAGAAACATCCTATAACATCAATGCCCTGTGTGCATAGGATGATGAAAATGAGCAAAGTTTGCTTCTGGACCAAAAGAGAGCTTATGACACTGTGGTTGACAGTGTCTGCTCCTCCAAAGGTAGAATGTTCCTAGATGCTCCTGGAGGGACAGGAAAGACATTTGTTACTAAGCTGCTTTTGGCCAAAGTTTGACACCACATGGACATAGCTTTGGCAATGGCCTTATCTGGTATTGTTGCAACTTTACTGCTTGCTCAGTCAACTTTTAAGCTTCCATTAGACTTGATTTCATCTGATAATCCAATATGCAGTATCAGCAAAACCTCTGAATTGGCCCAAGTGCTAAAAAGGTGCAGGTTCATCATATAGGATGAATGCACCATGGCACACAAGGCAGCTCTGGAAGCATTGGACCAAACCATGAGAGACATTTGAAGTTATATTGTTGTGTGTGTGTATAATATATATATATATATATATATATATATATATATATATATATATTAATTAATTAATCTACTTCTAAATTCAACCGCAAGATTCTGTTATAAAATTTGATGCAAGGGAGATAACTGATTTTTAAAAATAATTAAATTCATTCGACGAGGCACCATATTTATTGGACGAATAACAACATCGTAAAGGAACCACCACAACCAGTCATTTAATTGACTGTACTGACTACTTCTAAATTTAAATCAATCCAGTGAAGGAATATCTCAAATAAAAAAAAAAAAAAAATAAAAAAATGATATGTTTTTAACTTGGCTGAGGAAAAAACAATTTTTGAAAGAAGAATATTCAAATTTGTGTAAATTATTTATATTTGGACTAATCTCCTCATCTTTTTTTGTTATTATCACATAATGGTAATAACAAAAAACCATCCAGCCTTCTTCAGGTGTCCTGTTATATTAAAATGTTAGTTATGAATCTGATGAGTTCAATCCCTGTGCTGAGTAGTACACACTCAGGCTTAGTGGAAACAAGGCAAATAACTGAGCAGTACTGAAATCGAATAAGACAAAATATCTGTAGACATGGGCAGCAGAGCAAGAATGATTTACCACTGTAGATTAAATAAAGCTTTTAGTGTGAAATTCCCTGAATGTTACTTGGATCAACACCTGAAGGTCAAAGGGCACAATGGCTAAAATGCTGACATAATAACAAAAATGAGAACATTCATCTGAAGTTCAATAATGAAAATCATGATAACTCCTTGTCTCAGAAATTCAGCCAGGAAATGGTTGATAAATTCATTGGCTAAAAGATTTTATCCTGAGTAGTTGTTTATTCAATGTTACATCTTGTTTTTCTTTCAATGTTTCATTCATAATCTGTTTTATTGAGATTATTTTTTTTGAAGAAAGTTTAATTCTAATTTACTTAAATATTAAACTATATTTCATAAATATTTTTCATTCTATTTATTTATTTTAATTTTAAAATTTTTTTTCAGCCCTCTTGGATTTACAGCCACTACCAAAGACTGCTTTAAAAAATAAAGATCTGGAAGATTTGTACTCATTCACTCATTTCAATCCAGTCCAAACGCAAATATTTCATGCTGTGTACCATGCGGACTGCAACATTCTTTTAGGGGCTCCAACAGGATCAGGCAAAACAGTTGCTGCTGAATTGGCCATTTTTAGAGTTTTCCAGAATTATCCAAATGCTAAGGTAAACTCTAAAAACTTTCATGCATCATATGTGTGCGTGTGTGTGTGTGTGTGTGTGTGTGTTATGTGTGTGTATATGTGTGTGTGTGTGCCTCAACACACACACACACACGGATGTGCAGTTGGTGTAGTGGATAACAGTTTGGAATTGAAGAACCTAGTTTTAGTTCCAGTCAAATTCATTACATATATATGTGCAAATAACCTTGGGAAAAGGATTAATACATCACTTTTCCTTTTAGATATGGGTTAAATAGTAGTACTACTATCTGGAAAAATCATTGATATTGTCAAAAAATATTATTGCAATATTGAGTCTCAAAAAAAAAGAATTCTTACAATTCAAAATGTTTTGCCTTTAAATAACTGACAAAGGTTTGATTAGCCATTATAAAAATCAACACATGCTTGTGTGTATAATATATATAGTATGCTTGTAAAGGCTCATGATGAAACATAACAGACAATTTATTGTCTTATATTTAACAATATATGTTTGTGTGTATATATATATATATATATATATATATATATATATATATATATATAGTTAAACCTAGAGACGTTCTTTCTTTTTTTATACCTTTTTTTCCCTATGGTATTGGTTTGATTATTTGCAAATCTAGATACCAAAGTTTTTCCAAATGAGTATAGTTTCTTATACTTATAAGATTACTACTACTACTATATATATATATATATATATATATATATATAGCTTGGATATCATGCAGACAACGAGATTGCCATGCTGAGTTCAGAGTTTGGCAATGTTTATTGCAATCTCTTTCCTTTTGCACAAATACCCCCCCACCTAGGAAATGTATGAAAATACCTCTTCTTTTGCCACCTATGGGTTAAATAGCAAGGTATACTTGACAATCAGTCTGAATTTAAAACCTGCTTTGTTGCTGGAGTCAGCACAGTGGTGACATTTAATCGCTAAAACAGCAAAATGCTGTGACCAGCAGAATTGAATCGCCGCTCAACAGTCTGATCAATCAAGGTGATTGAGATATATGGTCATCCACATACAAGCTTATTTCACTGTATCACAGCTCATTAGTGTGGTATTGGTCAGAGATTTTACCCCTAAGCTATTGGCACATGGCAGAGAAAGGGCAATTTTAACGAATTATATATGAGATGTATACAAATGCCAGTAGCCAATAGCGCTCAATTCACGACTGAAGAGTGATGCATTAATAGCAGGAGCAGCGACCGTTTTTAAAATTACCCTTTCTCTACAGTGCTCAATCGTTAATGATGAGAACATAGTCATCCACATACCAGCCTGTATCACAGCTCATCAGTGTGTCTAGACATCTGGTTGCTTCAAGCCGAGATTGAAACCTGATATATGAGAGAGAGAGAGAAATAAAAACAATATAAATTGAGTGAATCTAAGCAGAAAATGCTTATTCAAATAATAATTTAATACATTTTTCTTTTCAGCAGGTTAGTTTTTGTATCCTGCTAGTTGGCAGCTTAAAGAAACTGTCCACAGTTTGTTATCTTTTGTTAAGGTTCCAAAATTTTGACTGACCTCACTTATCAAGGACAGAAAATTAAAATAGAAAATTATATCAAGTGTAATATATAAATGTTATAGAATACAGACTACAGTTCTTGTTAAGGTTCCAAGCTTTTGATTAGCTTCAGTTATTATCAAGAAAGAAATTTAAAGTTTGTGTGGAAGTTTCCATCTTTAGTATGATTTTGAGATTTGGTTGTTTCACATACACATAGAGGAGAGGATGGTAAATGATATTATCTCAGTCTTAGGTATTTTGTATTTTTACGATCAGCAGTAAAGTTTTGCATCTTCAAAAGCAGACACCCACTTGAATAAAAGAGAATAAAATAAATGAAGACTTTTGAAAAACAAATGCCAACAAAATGGACATTGGGGATTTCCGTTTACAGGCTTATATGAACAGTCAGAGTTGGAACTGAAGTAGTTCTGGTTTGCCTGTGGATGAGGATAGGCTCTCCCCTCCATATGGTTCCAATGTCATCTTCTCAAGTTACCAGCCACACAACAGGATGTAGAGATGTGCAGAAGGGTGGTAGGAGAGAATTACAGTTCTTGTTGGTTGAAGGGAAAAGTTGATCCTTAGTCTATCATGGTAAAACTTGTCCAAAGTTACACCTACCTATCCAGACCGTGCAAGTGAATCTCTTAATAAACAATCAAATAAACTGGAAATGAAGTTCAAATCTTTATTTCTCACTGTAGCATTTATTTTCACCTTTTATTTCCTTGTCAGTGTGCAACGGTCCTTTCTCAGTTTTTGGTGAACACCACCATGAACAAGAATAGACAAAATGTGGTGTTTCATTGTCTAGTTTGTGAGAGGTTGAGAGATGGCTCAGTTACATGTTTAAATTTGTATTGACATGGAAATATGACACTATGTTCTCTCTTTTTTTATTTTTAGTTTTTAAATTCTGGTATCACTTAAAAATAATACTCAGCAAAACATTGCAAAGAAAATAGTTTTAAATCTTAGAAACTGTTGATATTAAAAAAAAAAAAACAATAAACTAAATCATTTCTGAATGTCAGAATTAACTATGTCTCAATCACTGCAATTTCAAAATTTGAAAAATAGCGTCATGTTCCAGGGACAATACAAAGACACAAATCTCAAAATTCAACATCATTCCAAAACATAACAACCATACAAACATTGAATTTAATTTTTCTTAATAATTGAATCCAGTTGGAAGATTGGAACCTTAACTAGAACAAACTGTAATCAGTTCCTTAACACCTTCAACTTTTATATGCCATGTCCATTAAGGACATGGCTGATCATGACTCTCTACAACATCCTATCATGTGTAACTCTAAGCAATGTTTGTCCTTCACTATCTCAACCAGTTCATGCCTTGCCATCCATTTACACAAGCTCATTAGCTAGATTACTCTCTGTTCCCCTCTGCCCCTCTTACCTTCTGTCTGTCCTATGAGTTTCAAATTCTCCCAGTCCGCTTTCCTCATTATGTGTCCCAGAAGTTTCAAGTCTCTCTTTCTGATTCTAACCTCAAATATTCTTTTCATTCCCTTTTTCTTAAAACTTCCCTATTGCTCACATGTTCCATCCATGGTATTCTCAGTATTATTCTGTAGAATCCCTGTTGCCTTTAAGTTTCCTTTTCATCTGTGAGGAAATTGTCCATCATTCACTGCCAATTGATATTACATAACAGTTAAGCAATACTCTCTTTGTTTTTAATTAAAATTTTCAGTTTCACCAACGATAAACGTTTGTTGTCTTTTGTCTTGGCAAAACTTGTTTGAATATATAAACAAGTAAACAATATTTAAACAGTAAGATAATAATTATCAATCAGTGCTTTTACTAGTTGACAAATAGCATTGATATGTGTATGCCTCTGGAGTTATCAATTATGTTAATTGCAATTTTTTTTATTTTTCATGTTTATTTTTTTTATTCGTGACTTTATTTATATTCCAAAGAAATTGTTATCCCTATAAGAATTATGTTCTTAAACTTTTTTTGTTTAAACTTATTGTACTTTACTGGTTGTGAACTTTTTTTTTAAGTGAATCACCCAAGCAAGGCAGGAAGCCACTAGCACGCAAGGGGTTACAGGGGTTGGGGCAAGAGCAAAGAGGAGTGATAGAGGAAAGGATGAAGAGAAGGATAGGGAAAAGATCAGGGCATCTGGAGACGTCCATTGACATTATATTTGAATAGTTGGAGATTGTAGCTATCAGGGAAACAAGAAATGGGGAGGGAGTTCCACAGGTGAGAAGTGTGAGCCATGAAGCTATTGGAGTAGAAGAGACGGCTACATTTAACATGCCAGCCTAGTTAAATGCTTAAATTCATGAAGTTTGGGAACCAGTGAAAGCAGCTCATTAGAGCAGTTACCATGAAAGTATTTGTAAAAAAGACAGAAGGAGGCAACGGCACGTCTGTGAGAGAGCGACTGCAGATGAGATGCCAGATCAGGGCCAACTCAACTGAGTGATTCATCTAATATCCTGTCCAAAATGGGAAAATCCCTCTATGCCTGTAGATATTTAGTAAATGACATATTCATATAATTGCCTTTTTTTGGCAAATAACATTTTTAACCTGATTGTTATCAGTTCAAAATATATGAGATAGTTTCAAATAACAAATAATTACTCAGTGAAATTATTTTTTTTTCTTTCTTGTTATGCTGCCAGAAAAAAATTAATAATTCAATTCTGTTTATAAAATTTCAATTGGTTTTACAAAAAAAATTTCTAAATTTGATTGTTAAAATTTAATATTGTGATGTTACAATTATTTCTAAATTTGAATCTGTATTTTCAAATACATGATTAATCATAAATTCAAAGATAAAGGCTCACTTGCCTGATTCTCTTATAAATTTGGTTCTTATATATAATTTTCTTGTTTTTTAGGCAGTTTACATTGCCCCATTAAAAGCTTTAGTTCGAGAAAGAATGATTGACTGGAGAGTAAGGTTGGAACAAAAACTTGGAAAAAAGTAAGCCACTTTTTTTTTTTATTAATTTTTTCTATTTTTCTCATTTCTTCTGTCTTTTTTTACTCTTTATTTTCCAATAAAACTTGAAAATAACCATATAGATTCCTTTTGAAGATTTCAGTTTCAACATAAAAGACCTTATAAATTGATTGTCATTAAAAATAAGAGAGGCTAAATTAAAATAATTGAACAAAATTCAGATTAAATTTCCTTTTAAGTTAGAGCAATTATATAGTTAATGAGGCTTCTCCAAGGTAAAGTGGTCATGAGTTAGTATCTCAACAGGGACTTACCTTTTTTTTAATCTGTGATTTTTGCTTGTTGCTATAGACTGATGACCCAAGAAAGCTGTGATAAAAAAATAACTAAAAAAACATGTTGAAAGAAAATGACAAACAAAATTAATTAGTAAGCTAAATTCCTTACACTGTTGACTCTTGTAATTATTAATGGATAACTAGTTAAATGATATACAGTCTGTTCATATATTTTGAAAATATAAAAAGAATTTCTTCAATTTATTTTTTTATATTTTCAAAACACCTAAAAGCCTGCAAAATATTACAGTTGGTTTGCATAAGTCTAATATATATCTTCATAGTGGTTGGGGAGTTGCAACCCATCTGACATTCAGTGGTCTTGTAGTAAAATAGCACTCAGTTTGAAATTCATTCTCATAATCACAATTAGCTGTCATCAAATATGGCATAATGATTGATTTCTTGCTGATTAAAATAGACATTGACTCTGATTCTCTTAGACATCATCAAAATTCTTTCTAGCAAAAACAAGAAAAATAACTTTAAAATAGTATTGATTTCCTGGTTAATTTTTTTTTTTTTTTTTACATATCTAGTATATATTGTTTGATCTGTGGATGTCATTAGGATGCCACTATCTGTAAAAGTGCAGACTTTGACCTTACTAACCATAGATAACAAAATCTGTTTGTATTAATTGGATGACCTATTTTTTTTTTAATTCATGGATTTCTAAAAATTAAACCTGTATTTATTTCACTGTGCATGACTTTTTACTTTATCTATAAACTCTTATCCTTATATTTCAATGAGTAAAATGCTGTTTTATTTTTTTTTACATTAAATTACGTCATAAAAGTTTTAGAAATTTCAGCTTTGTGTGTAAAGGGAGGTAACTCGTGCTTTTATAATTGGAATAAATTAACTAAGAGACAATATACAAACGTTATTAATAAAATGGGACTGTAAAAATAAAATTTACTTCTACAAAAGATTTTATTGTTGCCATTGAATATTTATATTTATTATAGTATTAATGCTCATAATTTGGTAAGATGTAGACTTCTATCTCTTGAATTCTATCCTTTGATTATCCTTTCTCTGTACCCATTGTATGGGGCAAAATGATTAAAAACAAAAACAAGCATTTAATATTAGGCTTGTACCTTGTAAGGTAGCACTATTTGTAGAAGCATCCTTAGTTCTATAAATTTATACAGATTTCAACATTGCAAATTCTTTCAAATTTCAATTAATTTTATATTATTTACTGATTAATATTTGTATTATTTTTAATGTTAAACGTTTTGATAAGAATCAAAAATGTATCAATGATATGGACCAGCATTTAAGTAAAAAAGTAAAAAGACGAGCTTATTTTACAAACAGATAAATAATTTTGGTGTTTTTTTCTTTAAAGTTATCATTGCTTATAAGCAAGGAAACCACTTTTATGTAGTCCAATGCAAGAGTCACTATTCATTACCTGTGAACAATCCAGATATTTGAAGTGAAACTGAAAACATTTTCGGCCCGCCCCAATTCAGAAAATTAGTATTTAAATGACTTTAATGACTAATTATTTTTTTGAGGTCAGTTGGGCCAAGAAATTTTCAGCACTATTTGTATTTTATTTTTTGTTTTGTTTTGTATGATTTTATTTTATTAAAAAACAAACTAAGTAATTTCTAATGAATTAGTGGATTCTTAATCCAACATTGTTTCTTAAAAACATATATAACAATAATATTATGTAACGTATGTATTGGAATAAAAAAATATGTTGGAATAAAAGATACATAAATCCATTAGTTACATTGTTGACATTTTGGCTGTGAAAAGTTAGCAGATATAGGCTTCAAAAGGTTACAATATTAGGTGCATTTCTTTGTGTAATTTAACCTGGATTTGCTCTAAGGTCTCTTATGGCCAAGCAACCTTAAGCACACTTAACTGAAAGGTTGTTTTTCCATTATAAGGGGAAATGCAGGTTTGATTCCTTCTAAGAGGTACATTTTCTTCATTAAAACTTTCTGTTGACCAGGCCAGTAGATGTAAATTATACTCTTAAAAAAATAATAAAACAAAAAAACACAAACACAAGCATTCACTAAATATGATGTCTAACTGCAAGCCTCTGCTGAAAACAGTGCCTGTCTAACTGCAAGCCTCTGCTAAATGGTTTTTCTCATTATTCAGTAGCAAGATCAAGTTTCTAAATAATACTTGATATTTGGGTCTATTATAGGCAGAGAAACAATGAAATAGAATATCATACTTTTCATTGTATAGATTTTTACAATTCTTTTGAATTTTTCCAAATTACTTTTACAACATTGACAACTGCAACTACAAAAATATGGAAATTTATTAATTTCCTTTTCTTTTTACTTTTTTTTTTTTTTTTGGAAAAAGATGGAATTGGTATACAAACCATTTAAAAATTTTTTTATATACATTTTGTTAATTTCTATTTTAATTTTAATTTCAATTTCAGAATTGTTGAACTGACTGGAGACTTCACACCTGACGTGAAAGCCATTGCCAATGCAGATTTGATTGTTACAACCCCTGAAAAATGGGATGGTGTCAGCCGAAGCTGGCAAACCCGAAGTTATGTTAAACAAGTTGCATTATTGGTCATTGATGAGATTCACCTTTTGGGTAAGTTATTGACTCATTTGTAATATTTAACGATTGTGTCCACAAAAAAAAAAAAGTTTCAAAAAGACAGTTATTCCTTTGACACTGCTATTACTGTATACACTTTTGACAATGTTTATGGACATGATTATAAAAATGAGAACCAAACACAATGCAATATTTATTATTTACCTTTTATAAAGATTTATTTACTGTTTTATAGAGAAATAAATTTGAAAAGAAATATTCTTATTTAAAAATTTGAAAAAATATACAAAATTATAAAAAAGATGTAAACCAACTACAATGCATTATTTATTTACTATTTTTATAAATAACTATGAAAACAAGTTTTTTTGATTCAGTCTAATAAATAAATAGTGTTCTACATCTTTGTTGTCAATTCTCAAGAATAAAGAAAATTTATAAATCCTTTTTCATATGTTAGGGTTTTAAAATTCTAATCCTCACTTTAAAAAAAAAAAAAAACATTTCCAAGGGAATCAAATGTATAGTGTAATAGTGGTATCAAGGGAATTAGTATCCTTTTGATGCACTATTTTTTGCAAGCATAAATGTTAAACATTGCTGACTCTCCTTTTATCTGTCTGTCTCGGTCTTTAGATTGTGCTGTTATTTGGAAATTTTCTTCCTATGCTTTTTTTATACTTACTGATCTACTTATCTGTCCATCAAAATATCTCTGGTGCTTTTAATACTATCAGCCCTTAAGAGATTTCAATTGTTAAATCTCTAGAGTCCTGACCGTAATTGTTGAAAAGTCTTAATATGTGATGTTAATGCAATACAATTGATCTATTTCAAAACATGAAAATCAAATATTACAAGTTGATTTTATATGATAGGAAATTGATTTCTCTTTTAAATTATATCAAATTTAGCCTCTTTGCTATTAATAGATAAATAAAACCAAAATAGAAATATGTTAGTGCAGTTTAAATGATCTATCTCAAAAACTTGAAAAGCAAGTATTATGAATTGATTTTATATTTCAATTGATACCAAATTTAACCTCCTAGATATTGTGTAAGATTTTGACTTTCAATGCCTCTAGTTGATCATGTGATGGATGTTAACGCTGTATTTTGAAGTACAGTTCTAGCCAATTGCAAGCACTTTCAGGCATTTCTATATTGTAAAGATGTGAAATTTGGGGGTGCATTTGGCAAATTTTGACTGTAAAGGGTTTATGTATTTTACATATCCACCAAAGAATCTATGGTTACTTTTTATCTTACTACTAATGGATTCCTTGTGTTTTCCAGTCTATGGTGTGGATACGATATCTGGCATTGCAATGAAGTAATGTATCAATACATAGTAAAATATCATTCGAAACTAAGAAAAGAGTGTTGAACTGACATACCATATTTACTTGTGTATAAGCCGAATTCATGTATAGTGCAACCCCCTGAATATTTTTGTGAAAAACCTGATTTTTTCATATAGCTTGTGTATAACATAACCCCAGTTTCTGAGCAATGCTAGTAAACCTTTTGTAGTCAAATATTGCAGTACAGGACTATGGGAGGCAGACTAAAGGAGTTTACCTGTACTGTTAAAGTTAGTCAAAGATACTGTGAGAATGTAGGCCTACCAGATAGGTTACAGTCTCACTGAAAATACATGAATTTTAACCCCTCCATAATAAATTTACCTGTGTATAGTGCAATTAGTCACTGAAAATTTTTTAACCTTTTCAAAAAAAAAATTACTTGTGTATAGTGTGACCCCCTATTTTTTTGCATAAAAAAACTAATCATAAAAACTTGCACCATACTCTAGTATATACACCAATATTTGATATGCAATAATAGTTGTAGATTTATGATAGTCCAACAGACAATTGCTGATAAGATTAAAGAATGGGTTTGTGAGTTAGCATAATATTTGTGAGTTCATTACTTGGGCCAGGTAGTATCAACTCAATGAATATAGGGCTAGCAATAACTGAGAGGTACTAAGAAAAACAAAAGATATTTCTAGAAATAGAAAATCTACTTTTATACATTAAGTAAAGGGTTCAGTTCAAAATTCCCTGAAGGTTACTGCGATTGACAAGTGGCTGAAGAAGGCTGGAGAGCACAGTGTTTGAAAAGTTGTGATATTAACAATAAGGTAAATAATGATAACTTCTCTAAGATAAGTTAGTCTACAGAATAGACATTTAATTTTGACTCTTGAATTTCAGATATAAACCTAACGTCTTCAGCAACCATTTTTGCCAGTGCTCATATTGCAATTTTTTACTGTTATCATTGCATGTTTTTACCAGAGCTCATATTGCAACTTTTGGTGTTATTATCACTTTTCTCTGGCACTCCTTATTACTGGTTCCCATATTGTATTCATTTCTATGCTTGGTTGGCTCATGAGATTTTTGTGGCCTAGCATATGTGCTGATTCCTTAAGTTTATGAATTTTCCAGTGGTGTTCCTTGTCTATGATCTCAACCTGATCCTACAGAGGGTGGTGATCTCCCTTCTCTCTCCATATGTGGTCAACCACGCCTGATTTTTCCACTTCCCCTTGTGTTACAGCTTTTTGGTTAGATCCAGTGACAGGACCCAAAGAATATGAGTTCAGTACCCGGTTAAGGCAGTGGAGAACTTTCAGAGGGAAATTAACAGGAGGTAACTGATTAAACATGGCATGTGGAACTAGAACAGTCTACCCCAGTGAGTGAAATAAAGGGTTAAGTTTGACATTCCAACCACCAACAAGAAGGCTGGAGCGTACAACAGTCAAAACATTATAATAAATATAGTGACAAAGATGAAGACAATAGTCCGAATAATGTAAATAATGTGAATGAATCTATTATATATAAATATGTTTATGCAGATGTGTAGGAATGTATGTTATTACAATATCTTATGATGGTCATACTCAGTAAGAAAGTAGCAGCTATCATGTATGTATGTATGTATGTATGTATATATATATATATATATATATATATATATATATATATTCTATCAAAAAATCATTCTATAGAACGGCATATCAAGGGATGCTTTTGGTTTGGCATCAACTTAGACACTGGCACTGACTAGAGAATAATCTGACATGCTTGGGTGGTGGGGGAGTATTTTTCATGACAGGATATGAGAAAGAGGTCAAGGAGGTTTGCCTGATGTCTTGTCGCATCAGGAATGTGGGTGGGTTCTTCAATGATCTGCATTAATTCATAGGTGATGGCAAAGTCTCTGCAGTATCTACCTTTTTCATCAGGTTTGTTTGAGTGGACTAACAACTATTTGTGGTAAGTATTGAAGTCATAATTTGAAAGCTGAGGGAAATTCAGTGAGGATATTAGATTGAAAATTAGCATCCCGTTGACCTGAAGATGATAGAAAAGGAAATGAATATGGTACTGTGGATAAATGCCATGTGGAAGCACATATACGGGAGATCAGGGTCCTCATATTTTGTGTCTCTGCCACAGGAAAACAGACGCTGAGACCATGCTGATTTTAGTGGTCATGTTTGGTTATTAGGGTTGAGTAGCCTCTAGATTGTAAGCTCCTGCAGTGGGATAGTTATTAATACTAGTTTCAGACAGAAACAGAAGGTCGAGTTTGACATCGAGAAGTCAACCTCTGGAAAGTTGCAATGTAGACGCCTCACAACAGTGTAGGAGATGGTGAACTTAAGGTCTACTCTTTTTTTTTTTTTTTCAATTTACTTGTGTTTATGTGTAGATAACAGTGTGTTTAGTAGAAGACTAGGTAGTGAGACAGTCACAACCACAGGAGATTCTGAAATAAAGGGTTCAGTTTGAAATTCCAACCACCTGAAGAAGGCCGGAGCGTACAACGGCCGAAACGTTGTGACAAATATGGCGACAAAGATGAGGACAATAGTCTGACTAATGTAAATACTGTACATAATACCTCATCTCAGAAATATAGACAGACACCACAGGAGATGCATGCAAAAATAAACTGGATTGCATTGTCTGGAGATACAGCTATAATAGTACCCTTCAAAATGGCATTGAGAGGCCCCACCAGGGACTACTGCATAGTCCAGAACCCATTCACAAAATGGTAGTACAAAAGGCCTGATAGTATACACCTGTTGATAAGATAGCCTCAATGGTTTGAATTCCTGACTATCGGGCAGATAACACTAAAAACCAAGAAAACATTTACATCCAGCACCCAGGAAATAAGGTATAGACATTATACCTCGAGTATACATATCTTGTCTACCCAGGAATCTAGTCAACAGCACTCCTTGAGTCAAAAACATTGTACCAGCCTGTGACTTCAGGTACTGAGGCAAGCTTACTCATATAAAAGACCCACTCAGAGAAGGTGGATAATGAAATTTGCTCGGAGGTGCATCAACATCCCCTACCCCCATTTGATTTAATATTGTAGAAGCAAAATGACATGAACAAAGGCTAGCATTGGCAAGTTACCTGTTTGTTACAACCAAAAATTTACAAGTTTTTCAATTTAAAAACTACATTCCTCCCAAGAGAAATGATCAACAAGATTACTCAGTTCAAGTGTTGACACATGCTACACTTCTCATTTATTTTCAACAAATTGATAATACAGTTTTATATCGACCATATTAAAATTACATTGTCTAACCCTTTTTGTTAGACATTTTCATGACGGTCGTCCTCGAGTATTGAATCCAGAGGTTGGCAGTGAATATTTCAGAGACAGTAGGGAAGCGTAGTGAAGGTTCGCAGTGGATATCACAGCAGAGTGTAGTTCATCCTTCTCCTGGTCACCTTTGGTCCTTCCGGTAGATGAAACAAGATGGCCGCCTTTATACACGATGAATACAGTGTTGTGCGGCTTCGGATTGGTCAACCTTCCACTGGTCGACTACAAAGGGAAATAAGTCATTCTGACTCGCTCACTAGTTATAGGTAGTATATACCCAAAAAACCGTAACACTTTTAACAGTCTCGAGGTGTCGAAGGGTTCTTTTTCTCCCTCTAACATTCATGTCATGATTTAAAGATTTAGCATACACTACAAGTTTTTCTTATCTTAGATTCAGTGTCTATTGGCACAGCTTCCTTACAAATTAACTTTGCAATTTAACTGAACAATTAATTTTGAGCTTTATTTTTATTACTTGGACTGTGACAGTTACTTCTATTTGGATTTATATTTCCTTTTCGCCATTCTTTAACAAGGACAGGAAGTAAAGATTGGAATAAGATCAGTGGAGTTAAGTGTATGATTAACTCTAAATACATGTGTTAGGGTCAAGTTAGGGAAATGACTTTGTTATTAACTATCAAGTTGTATAAGTTCAAATCAAGCAAAGAATTGTAATTACGCATGTCACATCAGTCATCAAAATAATTAAACAGTTACATAGCAAATTCATTAAATCCATTTACTTGAGAGGAATGGAATAATATTACATAAAATGATAATGCTAATCCAATTATACAAATCCATATGTATATGCATCAATTAAAAAAGAAATAAATCAAGCAATTATAATGTGAAAACTGCAAAAACGACAAAGTTATATTTCTATGTTTCTAAATTACTTGCATGTAGAATCACACCTTAACTTGCTGGACTTTCACAAAAATTCAAATTTGCCTTTTTTGTGGTCTAAGTTTGTGTGGATTCTTTCGGTTTAAGTTTTTTGGATTCTTTTGGTCGAATTATTGTGAGATGTAACTTCTGTTCAAGCAGCTTCTTCCCATCAATAGCTGGTTTGTAGAACTCCTAAGAGGATGCTTCCCTGATTACTACAATATGAACCTGTTCAAGTCTAGAGTTAACTGTTATCTTCCCCACATATCCACGTAAACTGTGCCTTTTACTCTGTAACTCTCTACCACAAGTGGCTCCTAGGCCTTGTACAGGATGAACATCATTGTAACAAAAAAAAAAAAAAGTTGACATAGAGAGTATGTGCAGAGAAATGAACACAGTACAGTGGCAATCATTGGTCCATTGTCACCATGTAGTGTTGATTTTTATGTCCACACACACGCAACCCCACACTCTCTCTCATATATATATATATATATACACACACACACACGCGCACACACTACAGTTCAAAATTTTAAAGCCACACCCAGAATTAGCCTAGGATGAACTTGACAGAAGAGTGAAAAAAAAAAGAGTTCTTAGAGTCATTGAAAAAAGAATGGAATCAATTATCAAACTTATACTTTGAGAAACTTTTGTTATGAATGCCAAAAATTTGTGCCGCAGTAAACAAGACTAAAGGAGGATATTTTGGCAAGAGAAAAATCTAATCTTAAAATGCTTTTTTTCTTTTTGTCATAATAAAATTTCTAATAAAAAAAAATAATGTCTGACTTTTTTTTAAGCATATATAATATTTTTCTCGTATTTAAAGTACAAAACAACTACTTTTTGGACCAATTTAAGAAATTACCAGGGATGGCCTCAAACTTTTGAACTGTAGTGTGTGTGTATATGTATATATATGAATTTGTCTATATCAATGTTATGCAATTGAATGTCAAATTGTAAAAATTCTGTGTTATGTGTATCATCCCCTAGAACATGTTTGATGAGGTCCTTCAAGAGAACAAAATGTGTTGCACAGAATTTTTGCACTGAATTCAATTTCCTGATATATATAGTTATCCACATACAAGCCTTTTTCGCTCTTCAGTTTGGCTTGACATCCGATTGCTCTAAGTTAGGATTGAAACCCAACCGATTTGGCATAAGTCAGAAATCCTACCACTAAGCTATCGGTGCACGATAAAGAAAATGAAATTTGTTAATGTATTATATACAGATGTATACAAATGCCAGTAGCCAGAGGGCTCAATTCATTTATGAAGAGCAGTGTGTCAAGGTGATATTTATCTTTGGTTTCACCTTGGGATAGATACAAAAATAGGATGAGAGACATATAAATCATTACATTGAGTTTTTCTTTTTCTTTCTTTAGGGGATGAACGTGGTCCTGTTCTGGAGGTGATTGTTTCTCGAACCAATTTCATTTCATCTCATACAGAGAAAAATGTTCGCATTGTTGGTCTGTCAACTGCCCTTGCCAATGCCCGTGATCTTGCTGACTGGCTGAATATCACAGAAGTAAGTAAAGAGAAGAGAAAACGGAACAATGGAGAAATCAAGAAAGAAAATGCTGTTTGAATTTCACTTCTTTTTTTTCTAAAAATCATTTGATACTACCAAAGAAAATATGACTTTAATTTTCACACCAAGTTAATCTTCACTCAATCCAATGTTTTTTTTTCTACTTTTTGTATTGTAACATTTGGATGTACAAATGGCTTAATAGTTATCATTATAGAAAATTGAATTGACAGACCAAGTTCTGCTCAAGGATGTTGCATTCACTTTGTACTAATAACTTTGAGGACATGAATGTATCTCTTGTACCCACTGCCCTCAGTGATAAGTTAAATAGTAGAGTCTACTCAGCCAACCAGTCTTATGAGTGTTTTCCCTCTCTTTTTTACAAATATTTTAATGGTAATTGTTCTGATGAGCTTTCCTCCTTGGTGCTTAAACTGCATGAATTTTAGATTGGTAACTAGGTCTTACTATTTTACTATTGAACTACCTAGATGCAACCATGTGTTCTATTTTAATGGTTTCTTTTCTCGCATTTCTCACCTGTGGAACTCCCTTCTGATTTCTTGCTTCTCTGCTACTTACAATCTTCAAAAATTTAGATAAAATGTCAACCGCCATTTTCTGTTTTTTTGAATCCTGTTCTTATTGTCCTTTCTCCTCACTAAAGTCTTCTCATTCTCTTTCGCTCCCTTGCCTCTTAGTGGCATTATAACCTTGCTTGGAATGAAATGATTAAAAAAAATCATGAAGATATCAGGAAACAGCTTCACTATTTTTTTTAAGAGCAGTCATGACAATTTTTATATATTAAAGGATTGTTTATGTCCTGAAGTGATGTGGCATTTAAAAATTTATAACATTTTTTTGTTGGGCTGTTGAATTTTGAATACTGATTTTCAGAGCAAAAGATTTTCATCTTTTATCTATGATGTATACTTATAAGACCAGCTGAATTTCCAGCTTGTAAAGTGAGCATTGGGCTGTTAAAGTTTTTTAGAATTGATATATTTCCATTTGAGAAATGTTTATCTTGGTGTCAGCTTCTGTTTTGTCATGCTGTAAAACAAGTATTGCCAAAATGTAAGACTACATTATAAAACAGTAAAACAATCTTGCTAAAACCTTGAAAGAAAGTAAACTTTTATTTTACTGGTAAATTCAAGAAGGTTCCTCTGTAATAATTGGTCACACCAATGCAATTTTACATAGACAATGCAATAAATAGCAGAAGGTTCCTTTCACTCTTCTTCAATATAATTTTCAGCTTGTATTACAAGCTGACAATTTAGGTGTCATCTTTTGTTTAACAAGTTATCAGCCATGTCATGAGATAAGCAGTTGTCAGTGTTTGAGAATGGACAGATTATTATGAACTAAAGATAGACAAGGTTGAGTCATCAAGCAATACAGTTTTCATTTAAATGTTCAGAAGCTGTGTTGATCAACTTGTTAGCAAATCCACACTGTTGTAGAGTGAAAAGATCTGAAAGAAAGAAATTAAAGAGGAGAGATCTTGAGACGAAGAAAAGCACCATGTCTTACAAAGTTCCAAATGTGACAATGATTGAATTGAGCAAAAGAACACATGAATTGGAAGGAAGAATAGAAGTTTGTGGTGAGGTAAAATGCCAATAAATTCAATTTTAATAGTCCTGATGGACTTGCATCCTCCTCTCAGTATGATTTGTACAAAAAAGGTCTGTATTCTCTCACTGTGTTTAAGGTGATGGAAGGGTAATTGTTTGGGCAACTTTTAGGCCACTTCAAAAAGCACAAGATCGCTTGGCTTAATGCTGCCAAATATCAAAATCTTTTATCTGATGCTTTGCTCCTTATGCTAACAGTTTCTTTTCTCGCACTTCTTGCTTGTGGAAATCTCTGGCTTCTTGCTTTCCAGTTAAGCTTGATCTTCAAAATTTTAAATGCAATGTCAATCATTATCTTTTGTCTTAATTTCTCGTCTTTTATTTTTCTCACACCTTGATAATGTCTCTTTTTCTTAGATTATTTCATATTCAGTAACCTCTTGCATCTTGGTAGCTTTATTGCTTTGCTTGGAATGAAATGATTAAAAAAAAAAAAATTATTAACAGGTTCATCATTCCCTACTGATGCTGCTGAAACACTAGTGAATTTTTGTAATTAATTGTTATTACTTTAGTTATTATACTATATAATGGTTTTATTGAATTCATTTAATAGAATTGTCAGTTAATGCTGCCTCTTTGCATTGTTTGTATTTATGTTCAAATTTGTTTACTTGAATGATGATGGATGAAGATCAGATTGATGCCCAATATCAGTGACTTCTCTTATTTGGAGATTATACAGTGTTTGTAATTGCCACTTCTGTCATTCAATGGTATTCATAATCTGGATATAAAAAATGGTTTCTTTCAAATCAAGAGTTAAGAACCATTCTAGAACGAACATTGTAGTGATAAGTGACATTTTGCTAGAGAGTAATCAACTCTACTCTTGTGCCACAATGTAACAGTTCAAGGGAGGATGAAAGAAAAGTTGGAGAAATGATCCAGACAATATAAGACTTTTAATAAGAAGACAAAATGCAAGGTTGTCAGCAAAAGGAATAGTCCATCATGCAAATTACAAATGCTGGAGTCATGCATATAACAATAAACTACATCCAGCAGCAAGGCTTCTGATCAGATTGGAGGTTTTGAGGAGCCTGGAACTACCCCTTAATTGCTGTTGTTCCAAGGTCCACCCAGACCTGGGATAGCTATGGGCAAATAGTGATACCCTGCAAAAAAACACTATCAAAATATAAAAATACATTTTAATAGTAAAAATACTGGCAATACATTTTTATATAAAAAAAAGACTGACACTACACGACCAGCAATACATTTATCTGTAGTTGAAGGCATACAGTTGTGTTCAAAATATATATAGTTCAAGCCATAAAATAATCTTCAAAATATTTAGATTTTGACATTAAGTGACCCATGATGGCTGATATGTCGCTAAACAAAATCAACCAAACCTCTGACATAAACTCTTTCTTGGTATTAATCCATATAATATCCTACAATTTCTTAAATCAAATGGTATTCAAAATATTATTTAAAATAAAACTCCAACATAAAATATGCATATCACACCCTCAAGTAATTATGTCCACACAAACTTGTATATGCACAAAAACTGAGTACCATCTACCATGTATTCAATTGTGAAAGCCGAATAACATATATTTTTATTACTCCAAAGCTCCCAAGAAAATTAAATTTTGGCATTAAATGTCCTATAAGGAGATGATATACCATTAAAAAAAAAAATCAAGTAACATATTGGAGATATCAAAATCAAGTACAAAAATTTAAATATCTAGGAAGTGTTTTACCAGAGGATGGAAAGAGTGACAATGATATTTGAAAGTATATTGGGATAGCTAAAGTTGCCTTCCAAAAGCAAAGCAAAACACTAAGAAATGGGAAAATTTCATTAGAAATAAAGAAAAGAAGTACTGAAATGTGACTAATATCAATCCTCCTATATGGCAGTGAATGCTGTACAATTTCCTCACAGATGAAGAAAAGACTTGAAGCAACTGAAATATGGTTCTACAGAAGGGTAGTGAGAATATCATGGATGAACATGTGAGCAATGACAAAGTCTTAGAGAAAATAGAAAAAAAAAAGGAAACTTCAATTTAACATCAGAGATAGTTGAAATTTTTAGGGGACATAAGGAGAGAGGGATTGGAAAATTTGATACACACAGGACATAGGCAAAAGGAATAGAAGAAACGACATATAACCTATCTTGTGAACTTAAGTAAATGGATGGAGCAACAAGTTTTAGGAGAAATAACAAAAAGACAAAATTTATTAAGAGCTACAAAGGACAGGAATTTGTGGAGAGCCATGACACATAGAAGAAGACTCCACATTTGCTTGTATCAGAATACATGATCCAGGTTTGAGTGGCATATAAGCTTTAGCATTAATGGCTGGATATACAAGATACACAATAGTGGTAGAACATTACAAGAGAGCAAATTTGATCTATTCTTACTTGTAAGAATAAATTTGTTTTGTTAGATGTTTAATTTTGTGATTTTTTTTTTTCTCTGTAGATGGGTCTTTACAATTTTCGACCTTCTGTACGACCTGTCCCCCTTGAAGTCCATGTTTCTGGATTTCCTGGTCAACATTACTGTCCAAGGATGGTTTTATGAATAAACCTG